TTYYTYMWTWAWTTTTTTTTKATTTTSCCTTTAGAAAACTCAAGAAAATCGCTCCTGTAATAAACTCTGCATATTCTGGTCCATCTCAGACATTTTTTCGAAGCACATATCGGCCTTATGCAAGTTTTAAATATCTAAATCACTATTGCATGCGGAAGTCTTACATAATCTTTATATATTTCATGTTAGAGAGTGGGTATCAACCTAAAAATTATGACTGGTCTTGCTTTATTAAAAAACCGCGCGAGGTTTAAAGAACTATTGAATGCAAAACAATATAAAGCGATAGAGCTTGAAGTAGAAAATKTTTTTGCACTAAATCGATATCGATAATTTGTCAATTAAGAAAAACAGTTTCGATTACAAAAGCGATGCAATCAATTATTTCTTTTCCTTCACTCTTTTTTTTTTGTAATAGCTTTCAAGGAACATTGATTAGTAAAGAAGATAATGGCCGGGTGATGTGCAAGATTGAAAAAGAATTTAAAAACAGATCAGTAGTATTGGGTACAAATAGTATGGACTTTTCTCTTTAGTGTCCATCTATTGAGAAAGCCTACCTATGAATGAGTCTTGTAGCGTGATTACCACATACACCAAAATTGCTGCTGCATTATAGTCATTGAATACCTTCCAGTACATCTTGGTCTTGAAGCCAGCCTCAAGCTSTAGCAGATGGCTAGTGATGAGACGAAATAATATTCTCTTAATAAAGTACCCGGAATAGAACTCTACAGGGAACACGAACCAAGATCGAACAAACACATAACCTACCTCTTAAATTATGTATCATATGATCATATGACAAACAATAAAAATAAAGAGCTGATATTAACTCAGTGAAAATATAAATGAGAAATAGAGAATACACTACACTTGACCTATAAACAGAAGACTTTGTGACAAAGGGGGTTCATGTATATTTTATGAATGATATTCCGACAGAAAGCCGATAAAGATTAAATCAATAACACTGTGGTAAACAAACAAAGTGAAAATCCTGCTAAACTATAGCAACACGATGGGCTTTATTACATCCACTTGTTTCTTCATAAAAGGCGGCAATGTCAAGACACCTGGWGTCGATGCTGTGAATAAACGTTCACTATAGCAAAAACGAGCAATTTTCTATTCMAAGTTCTTGTAATATGACGCACTGTACATTCAAACCGTTTAGTGAATTAATAGGAAGGGCGGGGTGGGGTGGGGGGATTTAGTTTTAGTACAAGCAGGACATGAATACATTTTACTTTAAGTGAAAAGACATTTTTACAAAATCGGTGCATTTCTTTGTAAAACATTGTGACCTTCAGCCTTCCATACTCTCAACGGATTACACGCAAATTTGGTAAATTGACTAATTATTATACGTAACTGAAGACAATCTTTCCAGCATTGCCAAACATTTGATATTGCGGCAAGGTTAGATTTGATATGACATGCGCAGACAAGTTCTCTATACGTTCCCATGCACATATATCATGAGCTGTAAAGTTGTTGTTAAACACGTTGTTCAGTCTGGTAACATTTAGACCGGCAGTTCTTAGCTTTCTTCAATCTCGTGCCTTGTATTGAGGTACTCTTGACCAGCTGAGAAACGTGTGACTCTGCCAACAAATACTAAATAATGTCGCTAAATTCATTCTTATACCATCGATTTTTTCTAATTATCGCGAATTAGTAGTAAATGTTACTAAGCAAATTAAACTTTTAGAAAAAGTGAAATATTAAAAGAGTGATGCCTCAAAAAAAGACAATGTTATGAAGAAAAGAAACATGTACAATAAAGGTGATCAAGCGGGTTATTACAGGCACCCTAGCTCCTTAACTAAACGATTTCCCCGGCGTTGATCCTGAAAAAAGGTAAAGCAACTAATAAGTAATGTAAATGAGACTCTTCTTTTCTCATATGTTTTCTATACAATATTTTCAAGGTTTATTGGAAAATCTCTCGTGTCGTAGATTCAATATTTGGAAAACGACACCAGCAGTGGAAATACAAACATAAAGTCTGCTGTGTTTAATTGCAGCTGTCATAATGTCGACCGAATCACACCAGTAAAGTAGGGGTTCCTGAAAGAAAACTTATGACCATCTAAGAATTCGAAACATAGAGTTGAGCTCAGCGCAATGCACAGTGCAAACACATCAAACTCCAAGAGAAATCCACTTGTGAAGGGGAAGACAAATACTCAATACTGAGTTATGTGTGTACGTTTTTCTTTTATTTCCCAATCACTGTCCGCACTAAATAAATATCGCTTCCTCTGTAAGAAATGAGTTGATAAATTACATAGTTTAGGAAATATGATCAAAACTTCCGAGTACCCAGAAACTATCTCGGTTTTAGATTCGATGCTTTTAACCTTTTGAACTTGATAAGTTTTTTTCATTAGGTATATATCAATATAATAATAAGTGCTTTGAGCTGATAAGTTTGGAGGTTTGCATGGATTTATTGAGACAATCTTGTTTAATAGGTAATCACACTCGTCAAGCAGCAAACTATTCTAAATGAGTCAAATAAAAAACAGTCATATATCAACAGGAAAGCTGATATTTCTCAGATAAACTTTACCATTAAATGGCGGAATATATTGAGGAACCCAAAATAGATATGTAAGCATAATCATAATGATCGATTTGAAATTTTAGTTTGTGAGAAAAGAGCGAAGATCACTTGGATCATGTTGGCAGAATGCAAATGATTGAGTATAAATTAAACAAAAAGAGTCTTTATACGGTTGTCATAGCATGCGAAAATATACAAAACAATGWGTTTCGAAGTGAAGTTTTAGCTATTATAAATTTATTGACTAATTCAAATCATCGTATTGTAAATTCACCGACAAAACATGCCGGTGAAAACGCCACTGTCAACCAGCACCCATTCCCCCTATTGAGATCCTCTGCATAAAACATTATGTATTGCCAGGTTAACACCAACTCAAGCTGATCTTTACTGAAACCATACCTCCCAGGCTAAGGCAGTTGTCTGGTGAGTATTGTGAGTGCGCAAAGCACCGCAGCTGATTACACTCCCCTGGTCAGCTGAATTCAGTCTAGTTCCACACTGAAAATGAAAAGTTTAGATTCTTGCAGAAATTTAGACGATAGTTTAATCAGGAGTTTAGGCGATGTTTAGTCAGGGTTAGGTTGTTAAGTATTTATTTCAGCTAATATCTATGTAGATAACAGTATTGTCACGATGATGTTGCTGGTACTAACAGTTTTGTTCATTGCGCCGTCATATATTCAAGGTATAATCACATTGTACAATACGTACATAACGTTTCTTTTTAAATCTGTAACATTGCCAGATACAGTAAAAAYCCGYGTATAAGAACCYAACATTTAAGAACCTATTAGGCTAAATTTTCATTTTTAAGCACCATTCACGTAAGAACCATTTTAGGCTAAAATTCTAAAACAGGTTCTTATTTTGAAAAAAAAGGAAAAATAATCTTCTCAAAACATAGAAAAAAACATTCTCAAAAATATATTTAACACAGTCTGTACACATTGATTATAGTAGTTACAGCATAGTTACATAAAATTTTAAAGGGGAACTTTATCATTTATAGTGAAGGTTACAGAATAGGTTTTGATTTTAACAGTAGTGTAAGTATTTTGCTTACCGAAGCCTCCAAGAATACTGTTATTAGACATAAAAGACCACATYVTTTAAAAATTCTTAYTTTTCTTCTTGAACAAAAGTTAAGAACCTAATTAAGAACCTAGTTAGCCTAATTGTACACTAAATACCATTTATATAAGAACCTGTTTAGGGTAACTTGAAAAAAACCTAGGCTCTTATACGCGGGTTTTTACTGTATTTGAAGTCGTGAGTTAGAGTTCTTTTCATTTTCCCGTGAACAAAATGTACTAGTCAAAGCGAATAATGTGTAAACACAAACTACCAAAGAAAACCCCGGCAAAAAACGTGCAATATAAATCGCAACAAAGTGTTTTATGAGAAAATGTCTATCGGGTGTTTCTGAAAACCGCTTCAAGTTAAAGGCAGTCTATAACTGAATGTGGCTACCTATATGTATGCGTGATAAAGCAGGGATTCTGGTGCCATGAGCTAAAAAAAATAATAAACTCATATATGGTATTGTGGGCACCATTTTGACTGTTTTGCTAAGACAACAGATTTGTTTTTCTTTTTTCTTTTCTTTTTTCTATTCGGACTATTCGGGAGACCACAAAAGGTGTTTGCCAGAAATTATTGTTCATCAAAATTGTTTGTATCAAACCTGAAAGAAAATGAATAAATACTGCATCCTTGTTTTTAGCTCTAAATTAAGTATATGTTCCGAAAGTTATAATTGCTAATTGCGCCCTTTATATAACGTTTGCTTTCGTTTGTTCCAATGATAAAAAAATCTTTCATGGAGGCAACCATGACAACTTGTTACAATATTGTTTGAATCACTCTATCATGATTTGGTAACCTCTMAACTTGGTAAATTATTTTGTTAGCATGTGGTGATCGACCTGGATACAGCAGTCGTGTTGTGAATGGACATAATGCAGCTCCCCATTCTTGGCCTTGGCAGGTTTCTCTTCGTTCCAATGGTCGCCATATTTGTGGTGGYTCGCTAATCAGCCCTGAATGGGTCATTACCGCTGCTCATTGTGTGGACCGCAACCCGAGACCAAGTGGATATACAGTTGTTGTTGGTAAAATATATTTTGTATTGATTCAAGCTCTTAGAGTAATACGGTTGAATGATATTATTGATAACTTCAGTCAAATCACGTCATACTGTTAAATAAGAACATATTCAGTTTAAACTGCATAGATGGAAGTTCTATAATTTTGCTGTTACAATTAAGGATTTAAAGGTATTATGTTTATATAATGTTTTTTTTTTGTTTATTTTTGCAGGCGCTCATAGCCAATATGGATCTACCTCCGTTCAGAGTACCCACCGTCTTTCTCAGCTGTTCAAACATCGTGGTTTTAGTATGAGCCATTTCAGAAACGATGTCACTTTGCTCAGACTGGCTAATCCTGCAAGACTTAGTTCTCAGGTCAACACAGTTTGCCTACCGGGGCAAGGTAGCCGTATTCCAGCAGGATCGAGATGYTATATTACAGGTAATGTACTCCTAACTATCCTCATTTATAGGTCAACAATAAATTGATCGATGGTC